AAAAGAATGACAGAAAATGTTGAAAAAATTTGAGAACTTGTCAATGAAGACCACTGCTGAACAATCCATGAGCTCGCAGACACTGTTGGGATCAGTTATGGAGTTTGCCAGGAGATCTTAACAGAAAATTTGAACATGCACTCACTGGACTTAGCCCCCTGTGATTTTGCTTTGTTTTCCAAATTGAAAATGAAACAGAAGGGGTGACGTTTTGAAACAGTGTCTGACACCCAAAGGGAATCACAAGTGGTACTTGACAGCATTAAGGAAATTGACTTCACAGTGCTTTTGAGCCCTGGAAAAAACAATGGGATCGCTGTACAGGTTCCCAAAGAGACTATTTTGAAGGAGTTGGGGGCCAAAATTGAGTAAGTTAAGCCAGCATTTTTCTTTTGACCTAGTCCAGGAACTTTCCAATATCACCTCAAAAGCTAGAGGTGTATGGTGTAATTCACTTTTTAGTAGCTGGAGGTGACAAACAAGCTTATATGAGATCACATTCATAAGTTTAAATGTAGTGTATAGGAATTGGATGATGTTCTACAGCCAAGTCAAGTAAAGCATGTCATCACTTCTGACAGTGCTGTGGAAGCAGATTGACAGATTTGGAGAAATCACTATGTCATCATCATCATCATCATCATCATCATCATCATCATCATACTCGTCTTCAGTATTTGGTCTGTTGAGACCTGTTATGGATACTGTAAAACAGGATGCTTCCATTGTTTTAGAGATCTTTCCAGACTTAATTTTTCTCTTGGTTGATATTTTAAGATCTTTCTTTGGAATCCTGTTAGAGGTCATTCTACCACTGCATTCTTTCAAGTGTAATATGTATTGTCTAAATTGTTTTCTTTATGGAATTCCTCATGAACTTCATTTCTGCTGATATCAGTCTTCCGTCATCATTTCTTATTGACCTTGATTTACTGCCATAATATATAATGTTCTAGCAAGTGTCTTATATCTGCTTATGCATGTGCCTAGAAACTGACAAGGACTTGACTCTCTGCCTCATAATTTCTAAATGCTGACAGAGTGTACAGTGTTTATACTTGTATTGTTTTCTCCAATATAGCATCTGTTATATCCCAAATAATTGAAAGTCCCTAAGTTTATGTAACATTATTGTCACTTCCAAATGTGTTTTGGTCCTGTCCATAATCTAGTTCATTATGAGAAGGGATTCAACAAAGTGTGTGCACATTGAGTGTCATGTCAGTTTATACATGTATAAGAAGTGAAGTATGTGGATCTCAACGGATATGATGCCTTACTGGCTCGTTATGACGCAGAGGACAACCAAATAGGATAGCAGAGAACAGCGTCATCCTTCATCATGAAAGCCCAACTGATTTTGACTACAACATAAGCTGAGAGGTTGTGTTAACTTCCTTACTTGAGGCATGAACAATACCATGGTCACAAATTTCTTGTAGGAGGGATGTAGATAAGTAGCAAAACATTCTGAAGAAGAGTTTGAAACTTGCAGCCAGACACGGACAATGCAGAGTACTGTTCAAGGAAGCAGTGCAGTTCATATCCATATACATCTCTGGTGACAATTGCAACAAACAGCTTTACATAGAAGTCCTCCCACACCTGCCTTCCTTACTTACTTAAGAAATGTCATCTGATTGGGTCCTTAGGAACAGCTGCTAATACAGTCCACTTTCATATTGATCAAAGCATACAGTGGGTGGTAGAAGACTGGTTACATAGCCAGTCATAAAAATGTCATAAATGACATACTTTAGACAGGGTTTTGATTGGAAATTGGATTTATTGACCACTTACAGATCGTAACTACAAGTAACTATAACACTATTGCTAATCTCCACACTTCACAAATCACTACAGCACATGCTAAGCCTTCTCAGTCTGCTTTCACTAGTTGTTTCCTGGTAGCAGATCTTAACAATGGAAGTTCTTCCACTGCTATGCTCATGTCCGTACTGTTCAGCAAATATCCCACAACTGCACTGTTGCTCCAATTGACTAACTCCCCAGGGTGGCAGCCATCTCACACCATCCTCCTACTCTTCAGTTCACACATTGACTTACAACTAACATCTAAACTTGTCTTGCTTAAAACATCTTGGGGCGACTGCATAGAAAACACAGTTTCCATCAGTTCCTGTATTGTTGTGTGTGGTCTCGTCCTGGAAACCTGTTTGTTTCACGGTCACTATCTAGTAACAGGTATACATGCTACAGTGGCATCATAATATTGGTGAATTGTAGGACATGTATTGAAAAATAATGAGCAATGCGGATATTGTGTGGCAAAATTATTGTTTTCATTTTAATTACCTTCTTATGATATGCTGTTTTGAGAAAATTGAGGAAGTTTGATTTTATTTTCATGTAAAGTATGATGTATGTTTCACCAAAATGAACAAAATGAAAATTTCCTAGCACCTTTTAATGTAGACAACCCCATCAGCACCGTATTTAATCAAAATTTACAAGGTATTTTTGCACATGAAATGACATGTGAACAGATAAGCACATCCTCTGTGTTTCATGTTCATTTTACACAATTTATTCAGGAAATACATAAAAATATATATGCAGTAGTACTTCTGCTATAATTTTGTAAATTTGTAACATGTGCATGCTGGCAATCAGAATTACTAACATGTGAATAAATCGTTTATTCTGTGTAACAATAATTGTGTACGTAATGAAATACAGCATTACTGTATTTCATTATCAGTAACTTGGTGACAGTGAAGGTGCATAGTAGATTATTGAAGGAGATGAAGGGAGCATGTTATCCATGTACAGTAAAGCTCCGTCATAATGTTTAAGGTGGGATGTAACAAGGAGTTGCACTCACTTGACAGTATTAAATACAAGATAATTATGTTGAATTAAGAAGCACAGTTTTAAATATCTTGCTGCAATAATTGCTTTTTGGATGCTTTCCGTCCTGTAATGTGTTATTCTAAATTCAGAGTTCCACTTGGCAATGCAGCTTACTTGTATTTATCAAACAATTTTGGGGATCATCAGTATTGATTTCAACATAATATGTCAGCTATTGATAAAATACTTCACAGTTGTCAGATGTTTTAAAGAAGTGGGAGTACAAAAGGGCAGTAGGTCAGCGATTTACAAACTTTGTGAAAGTCTGCATCAGGAGAAGTATGGTATAGTGCGGTCACATTTTATGCGAGGATGCATTCCCGAAGACATCACATAATTCAGTACTGGTTTTGAAGCACATACTTGATTCTTACCTAATTTTTTGGGATTTGCATTATTTCAACTTTTGTGAATGAAGTGAGACTTCAATAATATTTTATATATCACACTATTTCAAATCTGTGTAAAGTGTGACACCATTGTATTACTTTCTCACCAAATTTGGTATATGCTTGGGACACATTAGGATGGTTGAAATGCTTGCAGCAAAGCCTATAATAAAGTTCATACAGGTAAACTATGTATTTTACACATTTCCTGTGAGTTGCTTTATCATCATCGTTTTTAAACTTTAGTTCAAAGTACCCTGTTAGAAGGGTCTAAGAAAATTAGGTGGAATTAGAGTTGAAAGAGATGCATTAGTTCCTTTTGTAGGTTAATGATGTTAAATTATTTGGTTATAACATAAATACTGTACCAGAGAGAAAAAGACATCATTTGGATGCTAATAAGGCCCTTGCTTCATGGAGTTAGTAACTTAGTAGTGTATCATATTTGCATTTGTGGTGGCTGTGATTTTGTGCAGCACACTTAGAGTAGTGTATGTTGTATGTTGGCTGTGTTTGTTAGTGATTCAAGGTTTTAATAAGCAGTTATTTGAGTGGAGAAAAAACTCTTGACAATTGAACAGCATTGCAAAGTTTTAAATATTGGAGGATCATACATAGAGAAATATCGTCAAGCGTAAATTTATAGGAGCTATGATTTAATTTCAGAGCAATTTTTTTAAAGTTTTATAACACTCGCTGATTTATTACACCATAATATTTGACATTGCCAATGATCTGAGTTGTATCATTAGAAAACAGATGTTGCCCAATGTGATTGTGGTGTATTCCTTGAACATTGTTTATGCTATTGGAGAGCAATAATGAAATTGTTAGATGTTCTCAAGGATGACACAACATGAAAAAACAAAGAAGTTATGTGGTGAAAACTCAAAATTAGGAGAAGGGCTTTTCAAATGATTTGCACACTGTATCATTTTGTGACTTAATGCATTCTATGAGCTTAATTCAGCAATTCAGGGTTTATGCGAGTAATCATTCATGTTAGCACTGTAGTTGATCAGTTGTAACTGCAGTAGACTTACAGAATTACAGTAGTTACATTTCATACACATACATTTATTTGTTATCTATGACAGATTTATATGTAAGATGACAGTTTGCAGTTTGAAGTTTCATACAAATTGAAATACTCAATCACCTCCTTTAAATGCAACTGCAACAAAGTCCCTGTCTTAACAGAACTCAGTAAAACAAATACTTGCTTCATGAAAAATCCTAGGTCCTGTTACAATAGAATACATTTTTATAGGTTATAACATCCAAGGAACCCCTGTGTAACCAGAAGTTTTGAAAGGAACTAATCACATCCTTTCCTTTCATTACATATTGAGTATTTTATATGACATGGACCTCTAGAAAACACCATGTCCAACAGTTATATTAATGTAATTTTCATCACAGAATATGTTTACCGAGCCATTGTCTAGCAATGACTGTTTCTTCTGGCTCTACCATTCTGACGTTTGGGGGGCACACACAGCAAGGTGATCTTGTAAGCTTTCTTTTATTTTTTAAGAATAATGAAAGTAGACCAGAAAAGCTGATTTTTAGCCCCTAATACTGTAATAAAATTTGTCCACTGTACTACAAATATAACTTTCTGACTTGGTGATGCATTAACAATCACTTTAAAACTTTTAACTTACGTAAAAGTTGCATTTTTTGATGAATTCATTATTGTTGCCTGATTTAATTGGAACATGTTTCATACCATAGATGTCACCACTGACAGTTCCATTATCACCTCGAGTAAGTGTGCCTCAACCAAGCAGCTTGAGGCCCCAACATCAAGTAGTTAACAAGGGGTGGAGTATGTCATGTTTGCGTCCCTCTCCCCCACTCCGCCCCTGCCTAGCTCTTGGACGTGATGACAATCATAGGAAGTCTGGACGCAGCACAAAGAAACAGAGTGAGTATTAGTAGCTTGTGTGAAATTTATAAGTGATCTGGTTATGTATGATTACTTCAACTGTATACTTAGACAATAATTTAAAACCATTTTGGTCCCTATTATTATTATTATTATTATTATTATTATTATTAGAGGGGGTGGGTTTCCCCATGCACTTAGACCAGTTATCGGTCCATTGTGTGTCCCCTTTTAATTTCTACTGTTGCCATAACCTACCGGTACTGGTGCGTGCTATCAGCCCTGTTCAGCCAACTAGGTCAGCCGTCGGTACCTGATATTTCCCCCATCTACCAGAGGCATTGGAAACTACTTGGGCGGGAAATTGTTGCCTAATTTTGCTCAGAGGTCTCCTAGAGACATGAGGATCTTTTACGTGCCATAAATCTACGACACGGGACCCACGACTTAAAGTCCCTCCCGGAGGACTTGTTCCCTGAATTTTTCCGCCCTTAAAAATTCCACGACCTCCGCCGGGTTTGAACCCGCGTACCTTGAGTCCTGATGTGGGAATGTTACCCCTAGACTATGGAGGCCAAGTGGCCAGGCCTCCCTGTCTTGGTATGCTAGAGAACTTCATGTACTATAACTGGAAGATGACGTGATTAAAATTTGTTCGCAAGATGGAGTACCAGTTCATTACCACAGCATTATACATGATACGCTGAGTGACAGGCTTCCTGAAAGTAGGCACAGAAATGATGCCTGATTACTTGACCTCCAAGATGACCGGATGTAACAATTCACAACTTTATTGTATGTGGTATGTTAGTCATGGTGTATATGGATGTACTGGTCAGGTAGCGAGCTCTGACAGAGTCAAATAACTGATCACTGCAGGTATTAAGCAGAAACTTCAGAGAAGACATGGATATGCATGTGCTGAAATCAGGAGCTTACATAGAAATTTAATGATAGAAACATTTTGAACTAACTTTCATTTCAGAGTTTATCCCCCCCTTTTTCCATATATATATTGTGACATGTTGCGCAACGAAGGACCCCTACCTCCCCAGCGGCACGTAGCAGTAACGTAGCGCTCGCGTAATAGGTGAGTCATCACCCCGCAACTCTCCCCGCGG